TAAGATTAAGAAGAATAGTTTTTTCTCTTCATTTAGCAGAGGTATACTAATATCATATTTTGTATATAGTATTAATATAAATTCATATAATTGCCTTGTATTTTCTCATATTTTTGATATTTGTTGCTAAAAAGATTTTTTCTAACATTGAAGATATAGGTTCATTGTCAGGTCTCTTCAGTGTATTATAGTTTATTTTCCAAATTGCTTTACTAATTTTGCAGTTAAGAGCAAAGTATTTAATAGTCTATAAAGTATTTTAGCAGTTAGAACAGGATCCTAAGTCTTCTTGAGAGATATGTCTTAGGCAGTAATCAAGAGGCAGTACTTTGTAAGCAAGCTACCAAAATATATCTATTTTTTGGTTTAAAATAAATTTTGTTTTTATCCATAAACTGCTGTTCAGGCTGGTATTGAGGTTTACTTGGGTATGAGTATCTCTTCTTAAAGGATAAAGTGAAAGAAGTAGTTTCATAGCTTTTTTGACTATGAATTCTTTTCTTGTGAAGTTGTCGATTTCTAGATTTTTAAAAGACTATAGCCAGTTAGTATTTGCAGTAATTTTGCCTTTAAACCTTTTTCAAGCTACTAGGTAGAGTTTCCATCTTTCTGGCTATCCTTTTGTTTTTATTATCACTTGAAAGAGAGCAGTGAGCACTAATATATTTCTTAGTGTATATATCTTGCTTGTTATTAGGTCTCTCTATTCTTGCCTAGAAGCAGTTGCAGATAAGGAGTTTTATCTATATAGAGGTTAGTTTGGAATCTAGAATATTTTTAAGGATAGGAGCTTCTAATCCTCCTTGATTGCTTTTAAGCTAAAAGGTTGAATATCGAGGAAGGAATCTTAACTTGCTTTTAATTTAGTTTGTAACAATTTTGTCAATTTCATTGAGTTGTTTTTTGCTAGATAGAAGCAAGTAAGCTGCATATCAGATTTTGAAGATTAGAAGAGATTTAGTAATTAAAATTTTGTCACTTAGTGATAGGTTTCTTGAGGATATATTCTCGATCTTAGTTTTAATTGTTTTAATAATATTAGGCTAAAGATTTTTTTTAGTAGAGCTTTTCAGGTTTACTTCATATCCTAGAATCTTGATAGAATCTGAATCATGCTGAAATATATTGAATTTGTCTTAGTTTTGTAATTCTATATGGCATATATTTTCTGTAAATAGTACTAGTACTGATTTAGATTTATTAATTTTAGAGTTTGATACTAGCTTATATTTGTTGATAAGAGATAAAATAGTCTCCTAGTCTGAAACAGAGCTGCTTCAAGAGTGAAGTCATCTGCATAAGCAGCTATTTTAAAAGTAGATCCTAAGATATTTATGTCTCTAATATGTTCTTGAATAGATTGGATCAAAGAATTGATTGCTAAGATATATAGTAGAGGTAAAAAGGGATCTCTCTGTCTTACTTCTCATTTGACTTTAAAAAGCTCTGAAAGATTGCCTGAATCTAAAATATATGCTTGTTGAGAAGCAAAAAACAAGGCTATGATTTTAATGAATTTGTTTTCGAAGCTCATTTTGTTGAAGACTAGTTGCATGAATTGATGGCTAACTCTGTTAAATACTTTTTGTTGGTCTAAAAAGAGAAGCTAGTGTTACTTGAACTGATCTGGTTAGTTTCTTAGTACTATTATAACATCTAGAGCAGCATCAGAAATAGATCTTTCAGAAACAAATGTCTGTTGAGCTGAATTGATAATTTCATCACATACAATATTTAGTTAGTTCACTAATATCTTTATAAAAATTTTAGTATCACTATTAACTAGAGAGATTGGTCTTCAGTTGCTTATATTCTCTAAGTTATCAGACTTCTTTAGAATAAATATGATCAAGTTCTTACTTCAAGAGTATAAGATTAGTCCTGTTAGCAAGATTTGGTTAAAGAGCTTAGTAAGAATCAGAATTAAAGCTTCTTTTAGAGTTTTATAAAACTCATATATGAGCTTATCTGGGCCTAAAGATTTGTTGTTTGGAAGTTTGTTGATTATTAATTTGATTTTCTTCTCTGTTATCTCTTTAATTAAAGCATTATTTGTATTTTATAAGATTTTTGAAGTATTATATAAGAGTTACTTTGCTACTAGAAGATTAATACTTTCTGATTTATAGATGTTCTTATAGTAGCATTTAATGTATAATAAGGTATTAGTTATATCTGGTAGCCTAGAATGTTTTGGATCTTTAATCTTTAAGCCATCAGATGTTGCATGTCTAATTTTGTATCAAGTGAAAAAGTACTTTGTGGATTTCTCTTTTTTCTCAATCTATTTAGCATTAGATCTAATTTGCTAACTCTCTAAAAGGAGTTTTAGCAAATTTTAACTAGTGTATTAAAGAGATCTAGTAATGTAGAAAAAAAAACTTGCATAGTATACTTTGCAAAAAAAGAAACACTAGAACACCTAGTCAAATGCTACATTTATCAAAGAATATAAAAAAAAATAGAAGGGATTATTTTAGAAGAGCTTGACTTTAAATTTAATAAGAAATAGAATCTTTCAAACACAAGTTAAAGATTAAAAGCAGTATTTTAGAAACAAATACTGAAGACAAGCTTAATAAAAAAAAACTACTTATTCTTAGCTTAACAAGTATTAGTTTGATAGCAGAAGTCTAAGAAGTTATAGAATCAGGATCTAAAGCTAACAAGATTATTTGCTAGTTCACAGAGATTTTTTGGTTAAATTTCTTTGAGAAACTTTAGAAGTTTTGCTATAAAATAATGATAAAGTAAGAAAAAAGAAATAATATTACTTGTAGTTTAAAGAAAAAGAAATTGAAATGAAAATGAAAAGATAGCTCTGCTCATAGCTATACTGATAAAAAAAACTAAGACACATAAGAAATTGTAAACAAAGAAAAAAAGAAAGACAAAGTAATCAAACTTCAGAAATTAGCTAAATTCAAAATGAGTAACTAGATTGAGACAGAAATAAAAGATAGCTGGTTTAGTTTCAAAAACAATTAGATAATCTTAAAATAGATGCATAATAGCTTTCTATAGATCAGAAAAATAGTTTTTGCTTAAACAAATCTTCTTTTTAAAAGGAAAATATACTATTCTAGCAGATCACACTTAGTTACTTTTAACAACTAAATAAGTTCAGAGTTAGTTAAAAAAAGTAGTTATATAGCTAGTTTAATATAGTTTATATTATTGTCAACAAAATATATTTTTTTTTTAATAAATAAAGGACAAGATCATCTAAGTTATAAAAAAAAAAAAAAAAAAAATTAATTATATTAAAAATATATATAATCCTAAAATTGTATGTGTTACAACTCTTTCTGATTATCTCTTGTACCAAAAATTTCCAACTTATTTTTTTAAAAATATACAATAAACTTTGTAGAAACATAAGAGGAACAACGCAGAGAAGTATAAGATAGCATCTGTTATTTAGAAATAGTTCTCATACACTATCGCTAACAGGTTTAGAGTTTATCACTCACTGCAATATCATAGCGGCACTTGTCATTTAGAAGTAGTTCTCATATGCTACTTGCTGACAAGCTTAAAGTTTATCACTCATCCACAGAAGATAAGTACTGGTTATACTCTAGGTGAATACAAGTAGATAGTAGATTTTAGAAAATATATACTCTTTTTAATTTTTTTGGCACTACTACTGTTTCCCTCTGGACCTTTGGATTTCTTTATACCAAAAAATAAAAAAGTAGGAGATTTGGTGAACCTCTGACAAAGGATCTGCAAGTTTGTACCACTTTCTAATTTGGCAAATCATCTGTTGATATGCAACTTAAACAAGACAACAAACATATATATCACTATTACGTGAATGATCCAATTAGGATTTAACTTCCAGAGAAGTTTATTGCTAAAGATATGTGTTCTTGTTTTTGCATAGTATAATATTTTTATATTTTGTCATACTCTTTTTTTCTTTATATTAATAAGAGTAGTTATTTCTTTTTCTTTTTTCTTTACTTTTTTACTTGTAAGGGTTTTTTAATCTGGTAGCAGATTTTTCCATTACAAGCTTAGTTCATATTATTAGCTATGTTTTATTATATGTAACAATTTTTATTTTTAACTTGGACTAGGTATTAATAGTTTGTAATTTAGTTTCGATTAGATTAAAAGCAACCTAGAACCTTGATACAGATGTAAAAGAACCTATTGTTGATCTAAAAGAACTACTCTACTTAGGTATGACACCTTTTAGAGAGATAAATACTTTTTGTGATAGATTGCATCTGAGTAGTGTAAGGCAAGCCGAGTGAATCTGAGGTTGCAAAGATGGAATACATTAGTAGTTTAGAACATTAGTTCTTTTTCTTATTTTTGTATTATGATTTCTTTACAAATCTTCTACTAATAAACCAAGAGTAAGGTTACCTAAATTAAAAAAAAAAATAAAATAAAATTGTATGTGTGATTTGTTGTATACTTTTCATGTAATTACAAACAGTAGAGATTATCAATGTATAATCCTGTTTGTAACACTAATAAAATTTTTTCAACAATATAAACCATCTTTAACAACAAAAAAAATCAAAAATATTTTGTTATAATTTTATTTAAAAATTCAAAAAAGTTTACTAAACAAAAATTTTTTAATTTTAAATATAAAATTTTTAGCAATTAATTCATTAATAAAAATAATCTACATACTCTCTACCCTTAAAAGTTTTAAATTGTAAAAACTATTTAATTTATAAAATTTTATTATTTTTAATATATAATTATCTTGTATTCTATTAATTACAATATATGCTATAAATTACGTATTTGCCCTATATTATCTTATATTAACTTTATGTTAACCGGGTATCTTAATATTAGCCCGTTAATCAATTTTATAATTCGATTATAATATCTTAGGGTACAATCACTATAGACTATAACGAGAACGACTTATATAAGATCGATCAGACTATTTTTAAAAATTGACCAATCAGATCGAAAAATCTGTGTGGCCGATTTTTTTAGTTACCGACTAGATCATTACTTGACCATTAAAATGTTTCATCTTGATTAGGACAATCTTCAGTCCAATGTAATCCATGCTCCTCGCAATTATCACAATACTAAAATAAAACGGGGAAAAAAATGATTATTTTACAAAATATATTCGTAACATGTTTAAAATTTACTAACCGGCTTTTCATGGTGATTTCCATTGGATCCATCAACTGCAGTATCAGATGAAGCACTTGAATGTGAACCAAATACTACTTTGCAATTAATAATATCATGCCCTACTTCTTCGCAAATTTCACAATATAAGTTTGAAGTTGAGGTTCCATTTATTTGAGGTGATGATCCTCCATCAACTAAACCATTACCAAGAGTCGATGTTTCTAATAAGCTTGTTCCATTGCTATTCATAATTTTCTTCAATTGCTCTTTCAAATCTTCACAATCTTCTTTCCACTTTTTTACATTTAGTCGTTCTCGTTGGACTTCTTCTTCCAAATCTGCTTCACGAAAAATCTTACTTTCAACCAGGGACTCCAGTTCGGCAACATCTTTATTCAATGAAGTTACTTCTCTTTTCTTTGATCTTTCTAATTCTTGAATTTTCTGACGCAACTCTCGAATTTCTGCATTATGCTTAGATGTCAATCGGTCTATCTGTGATTGTTTCTCTACTAAAAGTGATTGGAGGCGTGAAGTATCAGTTCCTGTTTGTGACGTTTCACCTTCAGAATCTTCTTGACCTACAGAAGTAACTCCATTAACTTCGTACGAGTCTTCAGCAGGTGGAGACAAGGATAAGATACCCTGACCACCAAGTGATTCACTGTGTAGTCTCTCTAATTCATCCATTAATTTCAAACATTCATTTTCCACTTGCCTATGAGCCTCCATTAATTTTTCTTGTTCTGCTAAAATTTTTTTATTATCACCGGCAATAGATACATTTTCACGGGTCAACTCTTGTACTATATGCTTGAGTCCAGCGATTTGTTCTTCGTACGATGAAACTTTTTCTTCGTACGTGTTAAGTTTTTGTGTTGTCTCTTCTGTTGTTTTGGTAGACATGGCCAAATCTTTAACTTTTTTCTTCAATTGTTCATTCTCTGTTTTAAGCTTTACAGAATCCTCAGACGATAACGTAGGATCTTCAATTGCCTTTGAATTGTTTGCATCTTTTTTAAGTAGGTCAAATTCCATACTTAATTGTTTTAGTTCTGTTACCTTGGTATCAAGTTCAGATTTTAGTTGATCTGCATAAATTTCTTTACTTTTCATCTGTTGTTGTAGCTCTTCTAGATCCTTTTGTGCACTTTCACGTGCCTCAATTAATTCTTTCCTCAAATTTTCTAGTGATTCCATCAATGTGGATTTTTCAATTTCTGCATCCTTAATAATGGTTGTCTTATGCTCTTCGACTTTAACAATATTTGCTTTATACTCTTCTATGTTTGCAATTAATTGTGTACGCTCATTCTCATTTTGTTGTATGCTATTTTTTAACATATCCATTTCGAATATAATGTCATGTCTCTCCTTTTCGCTATCTTGTAATTTCTTCTC